TTGAGGATTGTTGGGGATTTAGGGATTGGGGAGATTGGGAAGGGGGAAGAATAATTGGGCCTCCGGTATTCATTGGTGGTTGGCGACTGGGCTTCACCCAGTTGTACAGTCTCTTTTCTTTGTGCCTTTAGGCTTAATTCATTCTGTCTCCTGCAGTAATTCACCGAGGGAAGTGGAAACTATCGTTTTTTTTCTTCTCCTCTTATAATATCTTCTGATTCACTTCGTTGCGGGAACCAAGACAGTTATTCATGTCCCTGGGACGTTGGACTTCAGTGTTCCAGTGTTTTCATGGTTGTATCTACTGTAGATCCTGGCTTACAGTAGTTGCAGCGGTTTTGGAAGGTTGTGGCGGGCTTGTTCCAATAACAACCCTATTCATACGAAGAAACACAACGCGGTATGTTTCACGTTGGTTTTCTGCTCGGCCGTGGTATCACTCCGGTCGAGCCGGCCCATTCGTGCCATGGCTCTCCCACATTTATTAGTATAGTGTTATTTCTTACCATTTTAAAATAACATTTTTTAAATTCTTAACTAGATGGCGTTATCCTAAATAAATAATTTCAATATCACTGTAATTTTTCAATAGAACTTTTTGAGCCGCTGTTTACATGTGAAGATATCTCATGACGTCACATTCGAAATCATTTTTATCTAACTAGATAATTGAAATATCTATCTACCAAACGTAGGTATGGACCGTTCTACGCATTAATAGGTAATAAATTTCAGTACACGGCTTTAGTTAATTATACCTATGCACGACAATTGTACTAAGATACTTATTTAATCATAGATTTACCTCGGTGAAGGTTTAAAGCAAATCTGCATTGATAATCGGTTCTTTTTCTACCTATAATGTTAGTCATTAAGACGACATAGACGAAGCTTATAAAAATAACGAATGGAGTTTCTTGCTTGCTCTTATAGTACATATAGAGGTATAGAATAGGACTGACGCAGGTGAGATGGACAACTTAAAAACGACGGACTCTGTGCTATTATGTACTGATTTAAAACACCAAATATCTTCAATAATATTTTTGGCCGACATTACGTGTATTTGATGAACGACACCTTCGAAAGCTTCTTTATTTTTCTATATATATAATACGTTGCCCCACACTAGGATTTTCTCCTGTATCGTGGGTGCGTTTACAAATATACAAGTTCACATACACATGACACCCAGACCCGGAACAACAATTTGTGGATCACACAAAGAGTTGATCCGTGCGGAAATCGAACCTGCGACACGTTACGCGGCAGCCAATTGCCAAGTCACCTCACCAACTATTCAGTTACCTATCCTTACTAATAATATTATAAATCTGAAAGTGAGTTTGTTTGTTTGTTTGTTTGTTCCACTTTCACGCCGTAACTACTAAACTGATTGCTTTGAAATTTTGCAGACGTAAAGTTAGAAGTCCAGATTAAATAATAGGGTACTTTTTATCCCGGAAAAATTTGATATTCCCGAGGGAAAACAAAAGTATTGGTATAGATGGCGCTGTGAGTATTGGTATATGTCACATAGACTATTTATCCTTTTGTGACGCGAGCGAAGCCGCGGGTAAAAGCTAGTATATACATAATAGAAAAAATGGTCTGTCAGTGCATCGTACTCCTTAAAGTTGTTTGCTCATTCCGAAGTATAGACTCAAGGATATCAAGCAAGAAACTCCATGGTTACCGTGTTTGTATTATCATATTTACTTTATCAGTTCTGTAGATAGCGTTCCACGTATATTTTGGTGTCCAAATATAGCAAAATATTAGATAACAAATGTATAACTTAAAGGTTTGTATTCTATAACTTATTATAGTTATTTTATGACGTCTTAACATGTCGTCTCCATTGTGCTGTATGTATATCTGAGAAAGTTTTTATATTTATAACTCAAAAATGGCTAAATTTATTAGATTAAATATTGGTGGAGAGGTAGCTTAGAATAAGGAGACGGACATAGAATACTTTTTATTGAAGGTTTTCCCGAAACCTGACTGCCTCGTTGGCCAAGCGACAGCAAGGGCAAAGGGTATCGGGTTATATTCCTGTGTCTGGCAAAGTATTAGAGGGTTTTTTACAAAAAATCTCAGTGGTAGTGGTAGTCTGGAATTGTGCCCGGTATATGGCAATAGGCTCACCCCCTATTACATGGGACTCATAACATAAATAGTGAAAACTGGGTGTTACATTAAACAGTGGCGTTAAGTGCCGTAATGTGACCATTGCATACCCTTTCGGGGATAAAAGGCGTGGTGTTATGTGTGATTTCCCAAAAATCCTGCTAGAACGGGAAGTACGAAGTCGTGAGCAAGTAAGAAGCTAGTTCTTAATCCGTATAGAGATACTCCTCCGTGCTGAGAGCTCGGGGAGACAGACCTGGCTGTTGAACGAACATTTTTAACATACGTACAGACACAGAAGCTGAATGACACATAATTCAATTAAGAAAAAAGAATAAGAAATAAAAACATACATACATAACATCACGCCTTTTATCCTCGAAAGGGTAGGTAGAGGTGCACATTATACCACTGTACAATGTAACACCCACTTTTCACTATTTATGTTATGAGATCCATGTAATAGGGGGTGAGCCTATTGCCATATACCGGGCACAGTTCCAGACTCCATGCTACTACTGAGAATTTTTAAAAACCCAGTAATACTTTGCCCGACCCGGGAATCGAACCCGAGACCCCTTACCCGGCAGTCGCAATTGCGACCACTCGGCCAAGAAACAAAAACAATGATTCAGAAATGTATTATACATATATATGAATCATGCGACTAATCGGAATTACAAAAAAATTTACATGCAATCAATACAAAGATAGCACCATATACAGCAAGTGACAGTCCACTGTTGGAATTTGAACCTGCTCTACATAAGAGGGTTTGTCATAATCTCCGCAGGCAGGCGAGTTGGAGATCGCAGTATAAAAGGTTCAGGTTTATCAGAGAGCGCTGCTCCATCTCTGCTAAATTTGTCATTACTATCTCCTGTAGTCCATCATCAGCATCATCATCAATTGCCAGAAGACTTCTACTGTTGGACGAATGTAGTTTCTTGCTCGTTCTTCTCCATTCGAATCTACTTTTTGGAATGAGCACCTAGCTTCACCTAGTTTCGCTGACGGACTGATTGGCAGACTATTATTTATTTTGTATTTGTTGACGTTTCAAAAGTACCAAACTATGGTTTAATTGAAATAAATGCTTTGACTTTGACTTTGTTGGACAAAAGCCTCCCCCTTAGTCCTCCACGTTGAACGACAACCCAAAACCTGCATCCAATGGCTCTAAAGATTAATATCGTGGTGGTCCTAAGGTAAACCTTGCCAGGAACTATGAGCTGACTTACTGAAGGGTTGCGTCTGAAGAAAAAAAAGTATTTTATTCATTTATTTAACACATTGTGTCGTGGTGGCCCGGAGGTTTAAGACGCCCGCTTCTCATGCATGAGAGTGCGGGCTCGAAACCTACCAACGGCAAGTACCAATGTGACTTATTCCGAGTTACATGTACTTTCTAAGATTATTAAGACACCACTGACAGACGGTGAAGGAAAACGTCGTGAGGAAACCTGGGCCTTTAGCCAAACGCCACTTTAGCGCTTGTCTATAAAGAGAGTAGAAATCTAAATGTATGGGGATGACAGTGACAAGTGTCTAAATTTACGTCAATTCCATATAATTTGGTTTTCTATTCTACATGTAGACAAGCGCTAAATGGCATTTGGCTACAGCTGCTGGACTTATAATTTCTAATTGTAAGTTTGAAATTGCCAACCCGCATTGAGCAAGCGTGGTGATTAATACTCAAACCATCTCCGTGTGAGAAGAGGCCTGTGGTCAGCAGTGGACACTTATAGGCTGTAGATGATGATCTTATTGATTAGGTATCGAGTGGTGTAATGGTAGTTATCATAATATCAATTTTGTTGCCTGTTGAAGAGAGATTGGCAGAAGTCTTTGAATCTTCAAAGTCAAAACATTGATTTCAATTCGATAATATAAAAAAGCCTGGATGCAGGTGGTGAGCTGTCGATCGACGTGGAGGACTTAGGCCTTTGTCTAGCAGTGGACGTCTTCCGGCTGTTGATAATGATGATGATGATGATGATATGAAAAAAACCGCTAGAGGCACCATTTATTTGCTCTCATCATCAACAGCCTGTTTTCGTCCACTGCTGGACATAAGCCTCTCCAATGGCACGCCACTGAGCTCGGTCTTCAGCTCTACGCATCCAACCACTGCCAGCCACCTTGCGGATGTCGTCACTCCACCTAGCTGGAGGGCGCCCTACACTACGTTTGCCTAGACGCGGTCTCAACTCCAGAACACGTCTACTCCAGCGGTCATCGGTTCTTCGACAAATGTGACCGGCCCACTGCCATTTCATCTTGCTAATCCTTTGGGCTACATCGGTAACTCTAGTTCTCTGTCGGATCACCTCGTTACGGATCCTATCCTTCAGAGATACTCCGAGCATAGCCCTCTCCATAGCTCGCTGCGCCACCTTAAATTGGTGGACCAGTCTTTGCTCTTAAGTGGACATGTTATTGCAGAAGCTCTTAAAAAAGCGCTATTTTTTTTAATTTTCTAATGACGGTGACGATGACAGCAAAATATTTTGCTAGCGATGATGTATTTACTACCTCTACTAGACAGGAAAACCTACCTAAGCAGTGACTCAAAAAATTACGCCAACAGTTACTGACTATTTTTACGGCTATCTATCCAGTATCAATATTTTCGGCTTATCTACGAATTGATAAGGACGCAACAGGTGTTCAGAATATAAGGTAAAATGAATCATTGGAATATAGATTACTGAGTCAAAAACTCATCACCACGGCGGCTGTGTGGTCGAGAGAAACTGAGAAAAAAAATCTCAAAAAAAAACCAATAAATTACTAGTGTTTTTTTGTTTTAAGTGCGAGTGAGAAGTTTAGAGACGTATAGCCATCCTTGTCTATTTCGGTTCATGATCTTGTGGAGTGCTTTTTTCATATTCTTGTGTGTTATCGTAAAACTTATAAAGGTTGGTTGATTTTTTTATATGTACCTATATATTTTTAAGTGATTTTGAAAAAAAAATAAACAATAAAAAAATAAATTTCAGCAGTGATCGAACTGCAATAATGCGTCACACTATCCCAAAACTGTCATAAACAATAATCCAACAAAACTATTAAATAAAAAATATTAAAAAAAAAAACAAAAAAAAAGTCAATAAAATACTTACAAAAAAAAACAATCTATTCAAAATGACATTCTAATCATCTGACACAGATACAAAACGTATCGCTTTTTAAAAAAGTCACTAGTAACTCCTCTATTGTTCCGGGCGTTCATAGGTGGCGCTGATCACTTAACCATCAGGTGATCCGTCTGCTCGTTTACTAATAAACTTTTTGACATGAAAATATCTGACCTTAACTATTACATATTAACCTGAATGATGTCTCTAGAACATCTAATACTAAACTGGACTAGAAATATAAATTGCCTCGTTTAAAGTAACGACTTTTTTTTTCTATCGCGATGGAAATCCTCATGGACTTCCCGCGTCGTGAGGACGACGAGGGGGCGTGCCGGACTCTTCGGCTAAAACCACTGCGGTGTTCCTTCACTGCCTGTGACCGTGACCCGGGTTGCCCTTACGGAATCACCACATCCGGCAGGCTTCAATCTACCGCTATGTTTGCGGCAGGTCCCGCCACTTTAGCGGCCCTAGGAGGTTGCTTCCCTTCTTCGAGTAGCGCGCGTGGAACACTACGCTACCGCCTACTCCCGCCTATATAGCGGACGTCTGACTCCCCCGGTCAGTCGCCCGCAGGCCTCTAAAGTAACGGCTTACAAAATAATTGCATATTATGTTATTCCAGACACCTTAATGTACCCCTCTTCGAAATTTCATCTCGATTCTGTTATATATTTTCAATATATAATGCATTAACTATTATAATTAAATTATGACATTTAAATTCTTACCTGTACACAGCACACACAACTGTAAATTGTAACGCATCTCCTATCTGACATTATGATTCATATACGTAATCGTTATTTTTTAAATTTAATCTATTTCATTTTTTTCTTTCGAATTTAATTTAATATTATATTTGTAATTTTAATTGACTGCCGAGTGGTCGCAAGTGCGACTGCTGGGCAAGGGGTCTCGGGTTCTATTCCCGGGTCGGGCAAAGTATTACTGGGTTTGTAAAAACCTCAGTAGTAGCACGGAGTCTGGAAATGTGCCCGGTATATGGCAATAGGCTCACCCCCTATTACATGGGACTCATAACATAAGTAGTGAAAAGTGGGTGTTACATTGTACAGTGGCATTAAGTGCCGTAATGTGCACCTCTGCCTACCCCTTCGGGGATAAAAGGCGTGATGTTATGTTATGTTATGTAATTTTAATTATTATCTTACATTTTTCAATATATGATTCCGTGCCCTAACAGGGTTCATACTATACTTTAGCTCTAAGCTAACATCTTTTATACACATTATGGTACACAAACAAATGAATAAATGAATAATTATTTATCGTGTGAAATAAACAAGCTAGTCAGCAACACAATCGTATATTTTTCAAAACAAAATAAGAACATAAATAGGTTTCCCTATTGAAAGTGGCCAGCTTGCCACAGATAACATAAACATATACAACAGAGGGAGTAATAAATTAACATACAAATTTTCCCATTAATAATATTCACAGTCTTTTAAAACAACGATTGTGGCACCTGGCTGCTATAGCCATATGTATTTCAATTTCATTTTACAGTTCAGAATTAACTGATGATTAAAAAATGGACATCTTAGTCTGGTAACGTCCGCGGAGGACTTAACGGGTTACCGGGGCTCCGGATCGAAGTGCAGGAGTAGGAATGGTGTGGTTTTTTAGTCAGTAAGAGTCTGACACTCCCTCCCGCCTCACCCAGGCGGGAGCAGTCATTCGATGATTTTTCCCATTTAAAAAATTGGTTGCCTGTAAAGTCGGTATACGGGCAAAAGTTTTACGTGACAACGACTTTTTATGTCTGTCTCTCTCGCTCTTAGACGGGCTAACCATGCCCGAGTGGAAGGGACGCGTGCCTCTCACTCGCTCTCATTGTGAGCGCATAACGTGAGCGGAGCGTAATGCAGTTTCTTGAAGTGTCACCCGGCAAACCAATTTATAAGACGTTGTCACGTCAAGATAAGTCTGGTAACGTGGTAACACACACGCACACATAAATGACCCACTGACATTTTTGTACTGCATTCATTTCTAAGTGACGCTATGTCCGCCTGCTTTTCATCGTCCTTGAGTAGGATAACATCTATGATAAGACGACCGTGTACAATTCAGGCTTAGGTATAGGTACCTATTTCAATATTATCATTAAAAACAAATGCCTAGGTACATAAGTCTACAAATAAAGCTTTACATAACCAGTATAAACTGAACGTTAAATGTGCGGAAAGATGATGCGACGCGACACCAGGGTAAACTGGTTTTGTATAGATTGATGTGTGACCGTGTGTACAGCGTGATCTACATTTCAGTATTTTAAATTTGAGAGAGCCATGCTTCGGTACGAATGGGCCGGCTCGATTGGAGTGATACTACGGCCGATTAAAAAAACATAGTGAAACAACCCTTGCGTTCTATTTCGTCGTGTGAGTGAGATTATCGGAGCCCCAATTCCACCCTCAGATTCATTCAGAATCCTCAAATTCCTAATCCCCAAAAGGCCGGTAACGCACTTGCCTCTGGTGTTACAGATGTCCATGGGCGACGCCGATTGCTTATTGTTTACCAGGTTATCCGTCTGCTCGTTTACCAGCTTATCTTATAAAACAAAACTAAATAATATTTGGAAATCCCCCTTTGAAAATTTTTTTAGGTACCTATAGAATGAATTCACATACATTAATAACAAGATACTTGTAAATAGCTAACATAATATCTTAGTTTTTAAACTATCTATATACCTATGGACGAAATTTTATCTGTCTATTTATCTAATATTTCCCCACGTTTCTGATTATGATTTGATAAACAAATAATAAAATTAGTGTAAATATAACATAAAGTAATATTAATCAAACTCAAACTCTTTATTTGCTTGTTAAGGTAATACATACAGGTCTTATGAAATAACAGACAGAGCTTAACGGCCATTTTTAAGCGTTGCAAATTTAAGGGGTGTCACTAGCTTATTATAAATTACATTTGCTTAACATTTATTTTTTTAACATATTTATTGATTTGTTCGGAATATAGGTAAGTAGGTACTTAAGTATATAATATATTAGTGGGTTAGTGTAAAATGTAAGTAAGTCTATGATAAACTTCACTTTGAAGCAAAGCAACGGAGCCACTAGCTTTTTTTCAGTTTCATTTCTTATTAAATATTTTCTAATACAAGTATTTTATTAATTGATGACGTATGTCGTATGAAAAACAATTTAGTTACCTTTACAATGAGAATAATTTGTTGTAAAAGGAATATTTGAAAGAAAGAAAAGAAAGAAAAATAAATTTATTCGTCATCAGACATGGACCACCGAAAATAAAACAATATAAAAAACATAAAATAACAAAATAAAAAAAAAACAACAATAAAACAAAAAAAGCAAAATAAAAGAGACCGGGCGGCAGCATGTCCACGATGAAAGGGCTCGCCAACTCAGTATAAGCTGGGCACAGTAAGTACCCAACACTGGTTTTCAGTTGGCACCCCTGCAGTGACGCACGGACGGAAGCAATGAAAATTATTTAAAGGGAAATATTATAGTTATATAGTAATATTAAATATAATAATATTAAAGAAAATATAATAATATTAAAGTTATAGAAGGTTCTAAATAAATTATTATGTTTTCGGCTTACTCACGTAATAATTTGACGAGGAACTCGACTAGTTTCAAGCCATGCTAGAGGCTCATATTCATGAGCAGCATTCCGCGACCCGCGACGCGGCGACTCTGTGGTTCGAAACTAGTAGAGCTTTTCTCAGTATATTCACGTGAATAACCTGCGATTTTAGTTAAACTAGATAAGTTACTAGTGCATTACCAGGTTCTTTTTGGTTTCTTCTTATGCTACATTCACACTCTCGCGCGAGCGGACACGAGGTTGAGGTACATTGCAGTCTTATAATGCGAGAAGGACTACAAGACATCTATAATAACATCAATGTATCTTGACCTCGTCTCGACTCGCGCAAGAGTGTATATGTAGCATTAAAGATTTAAAGATTCGGAAACGGCACAGGTGACAGGCGTTTGTTTATTTCTGTGATTATTTTTCTATTTATACAGTAATCTCTTTTGTCCACAGCAAGTCAATACAATGGTCCGATTTACGGACCTCTGTAAGAAATTTGGACAAGTATTCATCCCTGCGAAATATGATCCTGATACACAGAATTCTTATTTACTATACACAAGGTAAGAACATATTTCAGACTTTATTTTTACATGTAATCAGCTCATGTGTGTATCTTAAATACGCTGGGGTACACTTACCGCGAGTACTTGCTCTGATTTTTAACTTATGTATAAGTCATAGTTATTTACCTGTGGAACTGAGTAAAACGATAGTTGTACCAGTAATAAAGAATAGGACTGGTGACGCCTCAGATATTTCTAACTATAGGCCGATATCGCTTGCCACTATCTGTGCTAAGGTATTGGATAGTCTGCTTGACAAAATTCTTGCTAAACATATCGCTCTTGAGGATGGTCAATTTGGCTTTAGACCTAACTTGTCAACGGACAGTGCAATTTTATGCCTTAAGCAGACTGTCCAATATTACATAGACAGAAAGACTCCTGTTATAGCATGTTTCTTGGATTTATCGAGGGCTTTCGACCTGGTCAATTATGATCTGCTCTGGCACAAGCTCACGCATGATACTACTGTCCCGTCTGATGTGATATCATTGTTTAGATATTGGTACAGTAGTCAAAAGAATACTGTTAATTGGGCTGGTAATTATTCTGACATGTATGGGCTTGACTGTGGTGTAAGGCAGGGAGGTCTGACCTCGCGTCTTTTCAACCTATACATAAATAAACTGATGGGTTAGACTCAGTAGCACTAAAATTGGATGTCACGTTGACGGTGTCTGCGCGTGAACAACATCAGTTACGCTGATGATATGGTGCTGCTGTGTCCATCTATCAGCGCAATGAGAAGACTTCTTAAAATTTGTGAAAGCTATGCGGTTGCTCACGGACTTAAATACAATACCCATAAGAGTGAATGGTTGGTTTTAAATCAGGTACTTTAAACTTCAAACAACTGCCTGAACTCTCACTCTCTGGGTCTCGATTAGGTCGGGTTTCGAAGTTCAAGTATTTGGGTCACTGGGTCACTGATGACTTAAAAGACAATGCAGATATAGACAGGGAGCGCAGGTCGCTGGCTGTACGCTGCAACATGCTGGCCCGCAGGTTTGCACGCTGTACGGAATCCGTAAAAATAACGCTTTTTAAGGCCTTTTGCCAGTCGTTTTACACGTGCAGCTTGTGGACCATGTATACCCAGCGGGCATACAGCGATCTGCGCGTGCAGTACAATGGCGCATTTAGGGTGCTTTTGGGGTTGCCGTGGCGATGTAGCGCGTCAGGGATGTTCGCGGATGCATGTGTGGATGGGTTCGCCGCGATCATGCGGAAGAGATGCGCCTCAATGTTGGCGCGCCTGCGTTCTTCCTCCAATGGCATTCTGAGTGTGTTCATTGACCGGTGGGACTCTCCCCTGTTACGTAGATGGATAAGTATCCAGACTCACTTATCCAAATAAAGTAATGAACATATAATCATTATAATTTACTAACATTAGGCTAAGTTGTACTACTACTAACATAAATATGGATGTTTTATCTGAAATAAAAATTTTGAATTTGAATTTGAATTTGAATTGTCCAGTCAACTGATGGTAGCGAGGTTGACTTGTCAACGACACACGTACTTAGGTATCGTCATGAGCTAATGTTCACATGTAATCAGCTCATGTAGTGTATTGTCCAGTCAACTGATGGTAGCGAGGTTGACTTGTCAATGACACACGTATTTATATATCGTCATGAGCTAATGTTTACATGTAATCAGCTCATGTAGAGTATTGTCCAGTCAACTGAAGGTAGCGAGGTTGACTTGTCAACGACACACGTATTTAGGTAACGTCATGAGCTAATGTTTACATGTAATCAGCTCATGTAGTGTATTGTCCAGTCAACTGATGGTAGCGAGGTTGACTTGTCAACGACACACGTACTAAGGTATCGTCGTGAGCTAATGTACACATGTAATCAGCTCATATAGTGTATTGTCCAGTCAACTGATGGTAGCGAGGTTGACTTGTCAACGACACACGTACTTAGGTATCGTCATGAGCTAATGTTCACATGTAATCAGCTCATGTAGGGAATGTCCAGCTGACGCTAGCGAGGTTGACTGACCAGACGACTCATAGTGTTTGTAAATACAAATTCAAGGAAAAACAAACACTATCGTTTACGTTTATTATGACACATAGCTTATCAGTAGAAAGCGGTATATCGATTAGTCATTTAGTCGGAAATATCCGGCTATTCTTAGCCATTCTCAGAGGCCATGATGTACTTATTTTTTTTCCTCTGACCTGACCCTCAGCGCCGAGGAGTCTTTCTATCTTCGGCACAAATATATACTCAAGAATATCCTTCTTTTGGCTGCCTCGTTGGCCGAGTGGTCGCAAGTGCGACTGCCGGGTAAGGGGTCTCGGGTTCGATTCCCGGGTCGGGCAAAGTATTACTGGTTTTAAAAAACCTCTCAGTAGTAGCACTGAGTCTGGAATTGTGCCCGGTATATGGCTATAGGCTCACCCCCTATTACATGGGACTCGTAACATAAATAGTTAAAAGTGGGTGTTACATTGTACAATGGCATTAAATGCCGTAATGTGCACCTCTGTCTACCCTTTCAATGATTAAATGTGTGTCTGTATGTTATAAGTAGTTTCTTTTCGCTATATTAATATTTATAGTTATGTTATACATGGTTTTCTGAATAGTGAAAAGTGGGTGTTACATTGTAAATACAGTGGTATAATGTGCACCTCTGCCTACCCCTTCGAGGATAAAAGATGTTATGTTAATATCTCTTTCAGAAAAAATCCAACAGAGTGTCAAACTCTTTTACTGGGAAATGAGAAGTTATTAGAAGCTTCTAACTTCAATCCGAATCACAGGACAGCTGTTCTTCTCCACGGATGGATTGATCACCCTGATGGTAGATTCAGCAAGATTGTTCGATCTGGTAAATATAAAATTACATTACATAGAAAGAAAGAAAGAAAGAAGAAAGAAAAACCATTTATTTTTGCGCAGAACACACATAACATAATACATAATGCTTACTATATAATATAATATACAATATATAGAGGTATATAATATTATAATAATATTATTTAATCCTTACTTATATATAATATTATAAATCTGAAAGTGAGTTTGTTTGTTTGTTTGTTTGTTCCGCCTTCACACCGTAACTACAAGACCTATTGCTTTGAATTTTAGCAGACGTAAAGTTAGAAGTCCGGATTAAATAATAGGGTACTTTTTATCCCGGAAAATTTTGATATTCCCGAGGAAAAACAAAAGTACTGGTATAGATGGCGCTGTGTGTATTGGTATATGTCACATTGGCTACTTTTCATCCTTTTGTGACGCGAGCGAAGCCGCGGGTAAAAGCTAGTTAAAAAATAAATAAAATATAAGCTAAAAAATTAAAAAATGAAGTCTTGTCCATGGTCCACAGATTTATTATTTAGGTACATAGTTTATTAAGCCTCGTTGGTCGAGTTGCAAGTGCGACTGCCGGGCAAGGGGTCTCGAGTTCGATTAGCGGGTCGGGAAAAGTATTAGTGGGTTTTCAAAAACAAAACTCATCAGTCTGGAATTGTGTCCAGTATATGGCAATAGGCTCACCCCCTATCACATGGGACTCATAACATATATAGTGAAAAGTTGATGTTACCTTGTATATGTGAATCTCTGTATACCCTTTCGGGGATTAAAGGTTATATTGTCATTAGCTTATGCCCGCGGCTTCGTCCGTCTTTTCATAACATACATAACATCACGCCTTTTATCCCCCAAGGGGTAGGCAGAGGTGCACATTATGCCACTGTACAATGTAACACCCACTTTTCACTATTTATGTTATGAGTCCCATGTAATAGGGGGTGAGCCTATTGCCATATACCGGGCACAATTCCAAACTCCGTGCTACTACTGAGAATTTTTAAAAACCCAGTAATACTTTGCCCGACCCGGGAATCGAACCCGAGACCCCTTGCCCGGCAGTCGCACTTGCGACCACTCGGCCAACGAGGCAGTCGAGGCAGTGGGATAAAAAGTAGCCTATATGTTATTCCAGAACTTAATCTATCCTTGTTCTAAATTTCATCCCGATCCCTACAGCCATTTTGATGTGATTGAGCAACAAACATACAGACAAACACACAAACTCATAAAATTTCACAATAGGATAGTTTCCTAAATGTTATTTTAATGTCCGTCTGGTAGATTAATTTAATAAATAAATAAATAAAAATAAAAATCATTTATTTCGGACATCTAAGAGATCCATAAAATTAATTAATATCTATACCATACAACATTAATACTATACCATCGCAGTCATACAAAATTTAGTCAAATATCATAATTACATTAAAATCAGTCATACTTAAACTTAAAGAGAAGATGTCAACATACATTCAAAAATTTCAACCAGACAGAAAAGTGAAGATCCCCCTCCAGAGTGGGGATGAGAATCTATCCGCCACAGTCTTCAGAATTTAACAGGAAACATTAGACACATATTTTTTCTTTTCTCACAAAATTAAATACTTTCGACGATATATTGATTTGAAATATCGTATGACGTCACAGCGTGCCACATTTTGTAGTACGTTATGACGTAACGACCTCTCTCTCTAAACGCCTAAACTTAGCGCCATTTTATCTAAATATTGCAACTTAATACGAGAAAAATCAAAGAATACGTGTCTAATATTTTTTCATTATCTAAATGATGGACTAATTCGATTTTTAATACCCTGGAAACTAAATGACTGCACGGTTGGTGCGGTGGCTGGGCAACCGGCTGCCGTGCAACGTGTCGCGGGTTCGATTCCTGCACGGAACAACACTTTGTGTGATCCACAAATTGTTGTTTCGGGTCTGTGTGTCATGTGTATGTGAACTTGTATGTTTGTAAACGCACCCACGACACATGTGATAATCCTAATGGGGGGCAACGAAAAAAAATAAAAATAGAATATTAGTAGGGGATTCTGACATTAGCAATATTCTTCTTTTACAGCATTTTTAGAAGCAGATGATATGAACGTTATAGTCGTGGACTGGAAGGACGGTGCGGATATAGCCAATTACTTTACTGGGATCAAAAACACTGTGAAGTCTGGTATGTACTCTGTTTTTATAATAACTATAGTTATTAGATTATTTTAAATCATTAGACACGTATTTTTTTATTTACTTACAGAAACGAATACTTTCGACGATATATTGATTTGAAATGTCGCGTGCTGTCACTTGTATAATGTACATCATTTTATACGTAGAAATGATGTTTTAGCCTCCCACTCCTAAACTTTGATTCGTTTTATCTAAGTATTGTTTTATTATACGACAAAATAAAAAAATACGTGTCTAATATTTTTCGTTACCTGACGGACTATCAATCAATCAATCAATCAATCAAATCATTTATTTGCATAATACAGGTATAAAAGATGTTACATATGGATATATAGTGCACTGTATCATTACCTAAATAGATGTGCAAATATTTATATAGTCTTTAGGCAATCAATTTTTCTAATTACATTATATTCTTACAATAATATTACAAAATTATAGAAATGTCAAAGGATTAAAACGTACAGAATGTCAAGTGAGTTATAATTGTTCATGTCATGGTCAATAAATTAAATCATATAACAATGGTAGAAATCAAAATCAAAATCATTTATTCATTACTTTATTGGTAGATTAATAATAACATAAAAACTAATTAGACTAATTAGACTTAATTTTCATACCCTGTCATCATCCTAATTGGCGTTCCATAGTCCTGTCTACCCGAATGACAGAGGGACATGAGATTATGTACGTATTTATTAACAACATATTGTCCAATTACAGGGGAAGGAGTGGCACGATTCATAGCGTGGCTGAATCACATGACAGGCGCTGATCTCTCACTTTATCACATAGTTGGATACAGTATGGGCGGTCACCAAGCAGGAGTCGTGGGCAGGAACCTCGACGGCAAAGTTGGATACATTACAGGTAAGAAGATATTAACATATGCCACTATACAATGTAACACCCACTTTTCACTATTTATGTTATGAGTCCCATGTAATAGGGGGCGAGTCTATTGCCATATACCGGGTACAATTCCAGACTCCGTGCTACTACTTAACATAGCATAACATCACGCCTTTTATCCTCGAAGGAGTAGGCAGAGGTGCACATAATGCCACTGTACAATGTAACACCTAGTTTCACTATTTATGTTATGAGTCCCATGTATTATCGGGCGAAGCTATTCAATTCCAGACTCCGTGTTACTGTTAATTGGGAGGCCCAATTACCCCCCTCCCTAGTCCCCGTCTCCCGAATCCTCCACAATCCTCAAATTCCCAATTCCCAAAAGGCCGGTAACGCGCTTGTAACGCCTTGGTGTTTCGAGTGTCCATGGGCGACGCCAATTGCTTACCATCAGGTGATCCGTCTGCTCGTTTACCGGCTTATGCTATCAAAAATAATTGCGAATCATTCGATTATTTATCATATCGAATTATATAGTTTTTATCTTAATGTTCCAATAAAAATCAATTAAATTAATATGTACCGGAAATTCTTTAAATGCCATCTTTAGTCGGTGCGAAGTCAGGGCAAAATTTATTAGGTATAGTAGGTAAACCAGATTCTGATCGCGACTTCGTACGCGCAATCCCGTTTTCTCCCTTCCCCGTAGGATTTTCAGGACTTTTTCTGTTTTAAAAACCTTCTCCTAATAATAACGAATACAACAAAAAAAAATATCATCATCATAACATCACGGCTTTTATCCCCGAAGCGGTAGGCAAAAGTACACATTACGGCACTTAATACCACTGTACAATGTAACACCCACTTTGCACTATTTATGTTACAAGTCCTATGTAATAGGGGGTGGGTCTATTGCCATAAACCGGGCACAAATCCAAACTCCGTGCTACTACTGAGATCTTTATATAGTAATACTTTGGCCGACCCGGGAACCCAAGACGACTTGCCCGGCAGTCGCACTTGCAATCACTCGACCACTGAGACGTAGGCAATTTATATTTCTACAGTTTTATTATGAAATATGTGTAGATTTATCTATGCACAATATACTAGTTGTCAAGCCACATGTACTTGGATTTCAGGAAAACTATGATATATAATATTATGATAACAAAAAAAATATATCTAGAAGACGAAATACACCATTATCTGAATATTGATAACAAATCAATATCTGTATGTTTAGATATGTTATAACAACGTAAATATCATAAAACCATGCCATATTTTCTTAGAAGAGGCAAATAGAAATATTAAAAAAAATTCAACACCGTGACTATTCCCGGTGGGTGTCGTATACCCGACTTTTTTTTAAGGGGGGATTGCTATCGTGAGACATACTAAATTAACTAAAATCGCGGGCTACTCACGTGAATATACTGAGAAAAGCTCTACTAGTTTCGAACCACAGAGGGGTTCTTCCTCATGAGCAGCGTGCGCGGTCGCGCAGCTCACTGATGTTAGTTATTCTCACTCAGTATATTCACGTGAGTAACCCGCGATTTCTCTTTTTTTTTTAACGTTGCCCCACATTAGGATTTTCTCCTGTGTCGTGGGTGCGTTTACAAACATACAAGTTCACATACACATGACACCCAGACCCGAAACAACAATTTGTGGTTCACACAAAGTGTTGTTCCGTGCGGGAATCGAACCCGCGACACGTTGCACGGCAGCCGGTTGCCCAGCCACCGCACCATGTGCAGTCAAATAGTTATGAGTGCAATCATAGTTGATCCGTCTGCTTGTTTACCAGCTTATTCTACCTTGCAATTGTGATGTGTTCATTAACGCATTTTGTTAAATAATAGGTATACTTGTCCCCTCTATACAGAAAACAGAATTTAATCTTATCTTTTTTCATCTAATGCAGGTCTAGATCCAGCTGGACCATTTTGGAGATTCAACAAGCATAAACTAAAAAAGACGGATGCTCAGTACACAGAAGTGATACACACGCACCGATGGCTGGGCTACTTCGCACCACTAGGACATGTGGATTTCTACCCCAACAGTGGAGTGTGGAACACTTGCAAATGCTGGACGGTTATATGTACACATGATAGGTGCGATATTGTATTCTTTTATTTATACTAGGAATTTTAATTCGATTCCATATTTGACAATTTCAGTGTTGCAACCTTATGACAAGTACTAAATAGTGACGTTGCGAAATTATTCGATATGGAAATGGATGATTTCTGGATCGATTCTCCTCGTTTATAATTTTACTCTCGTAAACTAAGTATATCAGGAAATTAAATATTTCTGAACCGATAATTTAGTTTTGACGATTAATTAACGATCTGAGACTTTTCTTCTATAATTGGACGTATTTATGCAACACAGAATCAACCCACACAATGACAGTTTTGAGTAAAAGCAGTTTTTGTCTAAATTTTGTATAGAGTAAAATTATCAGTAATTTTAATTAAAGTATCTTTATATTATTGTAAAAAATAGTTTGTTCTGTGTATACAAACCTAATATTGATGAAAATATTTAATATTTTTAATAATAATTCAATAAAAACTCGTTGGTTCCTTTTTACAAAACTATCTTTGTGTGGATTGGTTCTTTATTAACTTATTATACTGCCATAATTATGTAAGAAAAAAAAATGAAAACACCATTTTTTTAACGTATCCATTTATATTTGTAAAATAAAAATCAATCTTAAATGTCTAGAATTATATGAAATGTGAAAATGCTTAGAACTATATACCAAACTGCTCAAAAGTAACTTAATCTAAATCCGTTTCTAGTTCAAAATCCGGTTGACCTGAAAAACCGTCAATATCGTCTTCTGTATCCTCATTTCCAGTAAGTTTTACATAAAAATCATGTGAGTCTTGCGGAATAAGGTGTAGCATACTTTTTAAATCTTTTAATTTAGCGTCAGGGACAGGTTTGCCTGTTGGCCAAAGTGGCTCCATCAACGCTTTTGTTATAAAATATTGTCTTCCGCGAACATTTTTTTTATGTCCACTACCTTAAATTCTTCATTCAAATCAGTTTTCATGTAAATTTTGAACATTTCATCCTTTTTAATCATTATCTCTTTCGTATGAAGCCATGAAACTTTCTCTCCATCTACCGTTTTCTTTCTGTTGATTATATTCTTTTCTAATTTTAATGAGGACAAGAAGTCTTCATTTTTCATCCTGTGCACATGCATTGGATTGGTTTTTTTACAAGTTTTCATAACATGAATATAATCATCCGGTGTATAGAGCCTCTGTTGCCGTTTTAAGGCACATTCTATTTTTCCGAAATCTGTATCATTTGGGAGGAAGCTATGTCCTGATTCTAAGAATTTTATATTTATTTGGTCTAAAGATGGGTGTTCATTCAACATAGCTTTCAGCATTAATATCAATTTTATATTGCGATTCTGACCTCCACACGAATCACTCCATAAAATCAAAAATTTCACATTGTCATCAAGCCTTTCGGTAATGTGTTTGATCAGACAAGACCCCACCTCTTGAGCACCTCTTCCAGCTTCTCCTTCTACCCATACATTACAGTGAGCTTCGTCTTTGCTTCCTGTATGTATACCTAAATTGTATACCCACAGTTGTCTTTTGTAAAATACGATATTAGTGGGTATGCGCGGTAACGGTAAAGTTTTTTGAAGATCGAAAGTAAGAGTTTCGACGGTGGGATTATTTTTAGCTAGTTCCATGTCAGTTCTCAACTGATTTTGTAAGCTTTTTGCCATTTCCTGATGCGCTGCTCGTTTTAGTATAATGTCACCTCTATTTTCTTCCGACAACACAAGAATTTGACTTTCAAAAAAGTCACACTTATTGCACGTATCTTTCTTGAGAGGCTTAGTGCGCAGGTTAAATTTTGTATAAAATAATTTATTGACTTTTGCAGCAGACAATAATTTAATGTCGGTGGATTTCGCTTCATTGCTGTACAACTCGTATATTTTTGATAAAGTCATGTCAGGTCTCAGAAACTTAGCCCCTTCTGTTTCTTGTCGACGATAGTGAGATATATATGTCGGCAACTTTTTTATCAGGTTAATCATGAACTCCTCGCTTTCAAGAGGCGTTCTATTGAAACCCCCATGTACACCACGATTATCAGTAATGCAACTGTCTGATCGCATCTTACAAAGCGACGTATTAATTCGTTTTGCCGATGTCTGCAATGTCTTGACAAACATATCTCTACAAACTGATACGCCATCTAGAAAATATTGGCGTGAATAAGACTTTTTCTTCGAAACTTGGGTTTTATTGTCAGTTGCAACGTAATGCCGCTTCACAGGCTTTTCGTTTATTAAAGCAGTTAAAAACATATTTTGAGCATTATAAGATCCTAGGGAATAAAACTTTTTAAATTGAGCCAATCTCTTTTCTACTGAAATATTTTCGTGGCACTTTTTTAGGCAATTGCATTCATAATCTATAAATTCTTTAGGACTGACAATCTTTTTCTTAGAGTTGACATAGGACAAATTTGTGTACTTACGTTTCTTCCTTTCTTCCCGCGATATACCACCATATTTTGGCTTTCTACCTCTTTTTGGCCGTCCCGTAGGCTGCATTACGCGTAAACTATCATTATTACCATTACCATTGTCAGACTCTAAAACAAATGCCATCTCACTATCGTCATGCATATTTTCCTGTTGAGCATTTAGAGGACCTAAATTAATTAATTCTATTTGACAATTAGCGATCTCGTTAATCCTGTGATCTGTTTGGTTGATTTCTGCATGTGCAGTACCAGTTATCAATGGAATTGAATTATTAGAACTATCACCACTCGAGCCATAATTCTCAAAAGCACAATAATCGGGATCTTTAACCGAATCATCGCTATCAATAAATAATGGAGCATCGCCACTTTTCAAGCTTGTTATCGATGAGGTGTCAGATACGCCTTCAATATTCAGATAATAACTATTAATTTCTCTTGAATCAGCTAAAATATTAAACAAAGACGCCGTTTCTGGAGACATAGAAGGAAGCGGTGATACAGTTTTATCAGCAAGAGTTCCAATAAGTTTTTCTGAAGTAAATGTTTCTGCAGAAGTTGCATTATTTCTAGCGGTGACTGGGCATGGGGTCAGCGGTGAGTACGGAGGTGGTTCTATGCTTTTTTCAGCAGTTTCTATTTCATAAGTTGCGTTATTTTTAGCGATGACTGGGCGTGGGGTCAGCGGTGAGTATGGAGGTGGTTCTATGCTTTTTTCGGCAGTCTCGATTTCATAAGTGTCAACAGGGCTATGTGATGTTTTATTTTCCTTCACAAAATTTGTAGCTAAAGACGGAACAGGAGACAGAGGACTCTGGGAAACATCAGCAGAGACTGTAAGTAATTTAGCAGGCAAATTAGGATTGGATATAGCTCCATCACCGCAAGCCGTTTTTTCATGCAAACTGTTAAATTCACCATGCGTACTCAATTTTCCTCGTTTTTACAGCAAACCTAAAATAATAGCCCGCGTTTAATCACAAATTGCTCATTTGAACATGCCTATGAAACAACAATTAGCAAAAAAGGCGTTTAAAATTATGATATGTAACATAAACAGTACCTACCTGAAGGAACCTGGATTGGGCTGCTTGGTCTGGAGTTATCATAAAAATCTGAAAAAGGAATAATATATATTAAACTGAGTAAGGGACTAGTAACATAACTACCATTATTATAATTTACTATTATTATGTATCAAAAAACCCGTTTGACATATCTGTGCAAGGAGCTGAACTTTTAAAAAACCAATTTGGTTAAAACATTATTATTTAGTTACAACGGTACAATATATTACAAAAATTACTAATAAAAAAGTTTTAAGAAACAACCAAACCAAAACTTTTACAACCTCAAAATTATTTATTATTTACGTACCTTGATTATCATTCTCTTTGTCATCTGAATAGTTGAGGCAGCTAGAAATCATATTTTGAATCCTGGTGTTTACTCTCTTCATTGTTGGAAACAGTAAATCAATTTACTAATAGATAATGAAATTGATTATTATGCATTACACGACGTGAGACGTAGACGTACCGAGATCCTGTTTTTTGGTACAGTGTTGCCACTGTCAATCAATATACTGACCTACTATTCAGTTTAAAAATAGTTGCTATATTCACTCGAAAATTTACCAGAATAAACATTAAAATAAGTATTATTATATTTAGAAAACTAAGTGAATTACAATAATGTATACCTACGATCGGCTTACAATCGTTATGAGTAACATTGATTAAAATTTATTTTACAAGAAGTTTAAAACAACATGATTTTTCAGATGTTGTAAATAAACTTATATCAACAAGGAACCAAATAATCTGAGTCTTTGTAAACGTGCAGTAATACGCCTATTTTAATACGCAAACAAGAACCAATCCGCATGGTTCTACTAATTTGACTAAAAAATTAAAAATGAAAGGAATCATGTGGTATGAGTCTTATTGAAAAAAACAATTTTAACTATTTTTTAAAATCATTGGGTAACCATGGGGTATGGTTCTTGTTAGTTTATTGAATAATTGCGGTTATGTTGGTTGATAACTTTGTCATAGAATTGTTTTGATCTGTCAAAGTTGTCACATCATTTTGATCTTTACAGGGTCGATAGAAGACTTATTTTTGAAACGTTCTATGTCCTTATCTCGATTTTGGTATAGGTGTGGATTGGTTCCTGTTTGCATAAATACGTCCAATTGTGTGTGAAATAAATAAAAAAATGTTATCATGAAGGAACATGACAAATAAAACAGATAGATGTATTATGATAATAATTTATTTTATAAATTGTCGCCGTCATCGTTATCGCTGTCACTTTCTGTAACATCTATATATATAAAAGAAAGTCGTGTTAGTTACACTATTTATAACTCAAGAATGGCTAAATCGATTTGGATGAAAATTGGCAGGGAGGTAGCTTAGAACCAGGAGACGGACATACGATACTTTTTACCCAATTCTTTTTTTTACTTTTTACCGAAAATCAAGAACGGGAACGGGAAATATCGGGATTGCGCGTACGAAGTCGCGGGCAGAAGCTAGTTTATTATAAAACACATACACTGATTGTTTATCGATTTTTGTGTGCATCACTACACTTTTATATGTGGTATCATTATTTCACAAAATGACAGTAGCTAATGTCAAATCTGGAATCGAATTAAAATTCTGACTATAATTAATCTAATTTATTTAGTACTAGCGACTCGCGACGGCTTCGCACGGATGCAATATGCGTGCATCATACATATAAACCTTTCTTAAGAATCACTCTATCTATTAAAAAAACCGCAACAAAATCCATTGCGTAGTTTTAAAGATCTAAGCATACATAGGGACAGACAGACGGCGGATAGCGACTTTGTTTTATACTAAGTAGTGATGTGGTTAAAAACTGCCGGCCAAAGGCTTCGTCTCACACGGAGAAGGTTTGAGCATTACCCACCACGCTTGCTCAATGCGGGTTGGCGATTTCAAACTCATAATTAGAAATTATAAGGTCGTATAGAAATTATAAGATGTTAATTTGTATCAGATGTCATTGGTCAGGTGGTGTGTCATCGTATGAGTGAGGTTATTGGGCCTCCGGTAACCTCATTCACACGACGAAACACAACCCAAGTATTGTTTCACTATAGTTTTCTGCTCGGCCGGGGTATCACTCCGGTCGAGCCGGCCCATCCGTGCTGATGCATGGCTCTCCCACACTTAAGGCTGTGGTTATTCTACATAACATAACATCACGCCTTTTATCCCCGAAGGAGTTGGCAGAAGCGCATATTACGGCACTTAATGCCACTGTACCTCTACAATATAACTCCCACTTTTCACTATTTATGTTATGAGTCCCATGTAATAAGGGGTGAGCCTATTGCCATATACCGGGCACAATTCCAGACTCCGTGCTGCTACTGAGAATCCTTACTTCCTTACTTATATTATAAATCGGAAAGTGAGTTTGTTTGTTTGTTTGTTTGTTCCGCTTTCACGCCGTAACTACTAAACCGATTGCTTTGAATTTTTGCAGACGTAAAGTTATAAGTCTGAATTAAACAATAGGGTACTTTTTATCCCGGAAAATTTTGATGTTTCCGAGGGAAAACAAAAATAATGGTATGTATAGATGGCGCTGTGTGTACTGGTATAGATAGCGCTATATGTTATTTAAAACCAGTCTATGAATTATCTACTTATTGGAAAAATCTAAATAGCGCGATATAACCGGATTCCACGCGAGCGGACAGCTATTTGTTTGTTTGCCAGTCTAAAACGGCAGAACGGAGGTACTAATTAACGTGATTTTTTAACTGAAGGTAGTTAAAGGGATGGATAGTCGCATAGGCTATTTTTTATCCTTTTGTGACGCGAGCGAAGCCGCGGGTAAAAGCTAGTATTTTATAAACTGGTTATTCTACTCTTAACACTATTCTAAAATGGTCATATATTTTGTTTACAGGTGTTTCAAATACTTTGCGGAATCTCTGCGTTCGGGAGGGTTCACAGGCAGAAGGTGCAGGAACCTCCGCGACGCTAAACTAGGACGAAGTACATTACCTGAAACACTGAAAATGGGAGGTGTTATACCTAAAACAGGGTAGGTAGAGTTCTATGCATCTATATATATATATATATATATATTTTTATAAAAACGTTGCCCCACACTAGGATTATCTCCAGTGTCGTGGGTGCGTTTACAAACATACAAGTTCACAAACACATGGCACCCAGACCCGGAACAACAATCTGTGGATCGCACAAAGTGTTGTTCCGTGCGGGAATCAAACCCGTGACACGTTGCACGGCAGCCGGTTGCCCAGCCACCGCACCAACCGTGCAGTCTAATATTATTAACTAGCAACACGCCCTGGTTTCGCACGGATGCAATGTGCATGTATTATACATATTTTAGTGACTGCATAGTGACTGCACGGTTGGTGCGGTGGCTGGGCAACCCGCTGCCGTGCAACGTGTCACGGGTTCGATTCCCGCACGGAACAACGCTTTGTGTGATCCACAAATTGTTGTCCCGGGTCTGGGTGTCATGTGTATGTGAATTTGTATGTTTGTAAACGCACCCACGACACAGGAGAAAATCCTAGTGTGGGGCAATATTTTATTAAAAAAATAAACAAAAAAAAAAAATATAAACGGTCCTTAAGAATCACTCTATCTATTAAAAAAATCGCATCAAAATCCGTTGCGTAGTTTTAAAGATCTAAGCATACATAGGGACAGACAGACGGCGGATAGCGACTTTGTTTGTATACTATGTAGTGATTTGAAAAAATCTTCCGTAACCAGTGGTTTACCATTAGGTGTTATTGACTGTAGTTGGTCGAGAGATACCAAGTGCAAACTGCCGAGCAAGAGGACACTGGTTCGATGCCCGTGTCTTAAAAATAGAAATACTTTCTAAACATAATTATTTTGACCAATGGCATCTGGTGAAGATATCATAACATCAAGCTTTTTATCCCCGAGGTGTACATTACGGCACTTAATGCCACTGTACAATGTAACACCCACTTTTTACTATTTATGTTTTGAGTCCCATGTAATAGGGGGTGAGCCTATTGCCATATATTATGCCGCTTGCTTAATGCGGGTTGGCGATTACAAACTTCAAACTTATAATTAGAAATTATAAGCCCAGGTTTCCTCACAAAATTTTCCTTCACCGTTTGTCATTGGTGTCTGAATAATCTTAGAAAGTACATATAACTCGGAATAAGTCACATTGGTACTTGCCGTTGCGTTGGTAGGTTTCGAGCCCGCACTCTCATGCATGGGAAGCGGGCGTGTTAAACCTCCGGGCCACCACGACATTATTGTCTCACGATAGTTGTGATATACCAATGTCATTTAAATTAATTTTATTTAATTTTTTTTACAGAAGAACGGGTATCTACTATATGCAGACTAATGAAACTCCACCATTCTCTCGAGGTTAAGCAAAGGAGAGTAATGGTTGTCACATCGAATCTTAGTTTAATATTGTACATACTCTTAGATTATATAATTTATTTTATATATAAGTACCTGATTATACTATAAAATCTTATGTTAAGATTTGAATATAGTGAATTAATTTAATCTACTCTTTTTTCTTTTGATATCATGTATAACATCACACCTTTTATCCTTGAAGGGGTAGGCAGAGGTGCACATTACAGCACTTAATGCCACTATACACAATGTAACCCACTTTTCACTATTTACGTTATAAGTCCCATGTAATACGGGGTGAGCCTATTGCTATATACCGGGCATATTATCAGACTCCGTGCTACTACTGAGATTTTTTTTAAAAACCCTGTATTCCTTTGCTCGATCCGGGAATCGAAGCCGAGACCCCTTGCCCGGCAGTCGCACTTGCAATCACTCGGCCAACGAGGCGGGCATATATAGAACACTATTATAAGAAACTCATTACATAACTGGTGATAATGGGGTATTACATTGTTTGCGCTCTTGCCTACCATCTCGTTTGACCACCATCTCGCCTGGTGGTAAGCGATGATGTGGCTGACGATGGAGCACGCCTACCTATGAGCAACCTGTTCACTCGGGACTTAAAGACACCCAAGTTATATTTGTCAGGAAACACAGATTCCGGCAAGGAGTTCCATTCCTTAGCTGTTCGCATGAGAAAGCTTTTTTTTTGTAAGGGGGGAAAATCATCGAATGACTTCTCCCGCCCGGGTGAGGCGAGAGGGAGTGTCAGACTCTTACGGACTAAAAACCACCCCGTTCCTTCTCCTGCACATCGAGCTGGAGCCCCGGTTACCCGTTAGGTTCTCCGCGACTCCAAATCGGCATCGGCCCTGTTGGACCCCATCTGTGGTAGTCTGATGGCTCTTTGAGGCGCGCGCGGAACGCGGCGCTCCGTACGTTCGGGTCTGTTTCTGGTCGCACGGGGAGCCACCCATGCTCGCCGTCCGCAGGCCCGCGCTTACGGTGGCCGGAGATCGTCCCGCGATCCCGACGCCCGGTGTATCCTTGCAATGGTTGGGTTGCGAGGAGGCAGCGCTGCGCTGCCTCACGCGTCCCGCCTCCTCCTTAGCTAGCATAACTGCTTCTCAAAAGGAGGAGACGGCATCCCAGTCCCCCTCGCTCCGCATCATGGCCTGCACTGGGCCCGAATGCGAGAGGTCGCCATCGCCGATCACTTCCCTGAGGGCACGGCAGTGCTCAGCCCACGCAGGGCATTCTCCTATTGTGTGTTCCACCGTGCCCTCAGGGTGGTCCTCGCAGTGATGACACCCGGGCGTTTCCTCCCGCCCTATCAGACACAGGTACCTCCCGAAACTTCCATGTCCGGTGAGGACCTGCGTCAGGCGGTAGGCGAGGACGCATGAGAAAGCTTGACGCGAAACGCTTCGTGTGGGTGGAGTATCCACCATATAAGGGCGCCCTGTTGTTCGTCTGGTAGTACGATGGTAAAACAGACTAGGAGGAATAAGGTTGTGCAATTCCCATGCACACAGACTTTACGCCTGTATTCGAGACTTCGAACCTGAGCGTCCACAAGATATTCACACACTCACGTGTAATTTAAATAACGTGTTTCTAAAGACTTTACTTATCTAGTCTGTTTATCAACAATTAATAATATGTCCATCCAAAGGTTGCCTAGTAGATAGTAGATAATTATTGTTTAGTGATAACAGTGTCAACGTAGAAAAATTATATCTACGTGGTTTTAAGCATGTGCAAAAACTAATAAATTGTTAATATCTATAGTCCATCTGTTTAGGTAATTAACTAAAGGTAAACAAAGAAAACCACGTGACACAGAGATACTTAACCTACTATTACTTCAAATATTTCTCGTGTTTTAATTTTAACTAAATTCACTTTAAAATCGTTCATTTGTCATTCACACACATACAAGTACAAATGCCTAAATCGTACAAGAGCCTAGCCTATGGGTCTATTTCATTATCATGTTTAAATAGAAACTATTCTGAATCTGATGTACGGATTTCTTTCTTCTACGGATATGTGTCTTTGGGCCAAGTTTCTTCAATATATTTGAAGACATTAATTGCAAACGATGAATAACCTAAACTTAAATAACTTAATAAGAAAAACAAAACAAAGAAACAAGATAAATTCAACAAAATAGGAACGCGAGCGCAAACGACGAGAGAGCTGTCAATGGCGCCTGATTAACCAACTAAACGTAATACACGCTACTTTCATTGTCGCGCTACATCTTAGTTGTACTCTTTAATTTGACAACGTTATTTTGCTCCATTCTTAAAGAAGGGTTTTGGATACCTGGGATTTTAGGCTCTTTATGGTGTCTATTGTAATGAAATATTATATTATTTAATAAATGTTATTAAATTAATATCCTCAAGCAGATATATATAATATTTACTAAGAAATAAGTAAAAAGGAACAGAAACAACATTTAATAGAGAAAACTGCCGTAAAAAGGGAAACAATTTTATTTTCTTATGAAGTATTTTGAATCATGGAAATGTCCACTATAAAGAACTCTTTTTATGGTTTGTTTACAAATAGTTAACTACCTAAACAGACGGAGTATAGGTGCGAGCTTTGCTCGGTGTTTCTATTAGTACATTATTTCTTAAAAAAAAAGAAAAACAAAATAGAAAACAGAAAAATTATAAGAAACCTTAGGACCAAGGTTTGAACTCGAATGTCCGTACGTAGCAGGCGTCCGCTCTCATTAATTTAGCCTTATATTCTAATAAGAATTTTTAATTCATTGAAAACACAGACAAAATGAGACATAGACATTTTCTGAGAATAAAATCTATGTAGATCTATTGAACGCCGAGGCGTTTCCGAAATCGTTGATATATATACAAGAAGAGGCTCATATTCATGCGCTGCTACTGACAGCGCGCGCGACAGTCGCCGCGTCGCGGGTCGCGAAATGCTGCTCATGAATATGAGCCTCTAGCATGGCTTGAAACTAGTCGAGTTCCTCGTCAAATTACTACGTGTTAAATATGTTTATGATATCTGTCCACTTTCAATAGGGAAACCTATTTATGTTCTTCTTTTGTTTTAGAAAAATATATGATTGTGTTACTAACTAGCTTGTTTAATTGACACGATAAATAATTATGGCATTATATATTGAAAATATATGTATAACAAGTGTGAAAGAGCCATGCTTCGGCACAAATGGGCCGTCTCAACCGTAGTGATACCACGGCCGAGCAGAAAACCGATGTGAAGCAACCACAGCGTTGTGTTTCGTCGTGTGAGTGAGGTTACCGGAGGCCCAATTAACCTCCCCTTCCCCAATCTCCCCAATTCCTGAATCCCTAACCATCCTCAAACTCCTAATCCCGCTTCTGGTGTTCCAGGTGTCCATGGGCGACGCCGATTGCTTACCATCAGGTGATCCGTCTGCTCGTTTACCGTCTTATGCCATAAAAAAATCTCTATTCTTCACACAGATATCACAACCCATGAATCAACTATGGGACTACAGAGTACCGCTGATAAACCTGAACCTTTTATACTGCGATCTCCAACCCGCCTGCCTGCGGAGATTGTGACAAACCCTCTTATGTAGAGGTAGGTCCGATTTAGACTATAAATATGCCCACGTTGCACTACACTAGGATTTTCTCCTGTATCATAAGTGCGTTTACAAACATACGAGTTCAAACACACATCACACCCAGACCCGGAACAACAATTTGTACCCTTTCTCATGCATAAGGGTGTGCTTCTTAACCTACCAATACATACCGGACACAATTCCAGACTCCGTACTACTGCTGAGAATTTATTAAAAACCCAGTAATACTTTGCCCGACCCGGGCATCGAACCCGAGACCCCTTGCCCAGCAGTCGCACTTGCAACCACTCGGCCAACGAGGCAGTCTTTATTTATCAGTACAATTTGTATTAGTCATACGATTGTTTTTAGTATTTATCATAGAATTTGCACTAAATATATATGACAGTGATTATCTGTAATTATTATTATGTTATAATAGATAATCTTGTGTTCACTGATTAAAATTGTATAGGTATCATTAATTTTGACTCATACGAGTCTGTGATTCATGTTATGTTGTTGTTAGTTAGTCATTTTGTGATTTTCTAGACTTTTTTTGGGGTAAAAACCTGACATACGATGAAAGTTTTTTCTGGTTTTTTCCCTCGCTAAATATACGCACCGCGGCCACTGTTGTCGTTGCCATTCCATTCGCTATTAACTGAAAACGAAAACACTCCGACCTAAAATCGAATCCAAGGCCTTTTACTTGGTGATCGCGAGACGATCGCCAGCCACCGTAAGCACGGGCCTGCGGACGGCGAGCATGGGTGACTCGCCGCCCGACCAGAACCAGGCCCGAGCGTACGGCGCGTCGCGTTTCGCGCGCGCCTCAAGGAGCTATCAAACCACCACAGATGGGGCCCAACAGGGCTAATGCCGATACGGAGCCGCGAAAGACGAAAGACCTTTTACTTGGTAATCGCTTTTGCGGCCGCTCGACAGTCTTTCGTTTCGGTTTATGTCATTTCTTATTACACACTGTGTCATTATATCATTATTACTTTTCCCTGACCCAGGTCCACAGAAAGAAATTCAAATTGGAGTAGGTGGTACCTTTGTACTTTAATTTTATATATGTGTTGTCCTTTATGTTGTATGTGTGTAAATAAAGAATAAATAAATAAATGAAGTGTGGAATGAATTGTCGCATGTCAAATTATCAAGGAGGAAGCTTCCTCTTTTTTCATATGAGGCGTTAACTGTGCAAATTTGTCCCCTATTCCCGTAAAACAGTCGCGGAGAACCTAACGGGTTGCCGGGGCTCCGGCTCGAAGCGCAGTAGAAGGAACGGGGTGGTCTCAGTAACAGTCTAACACTCCCTCCCGCCTCACCCTGGCGGGAGCAGAATACGATGATTTTCTCCCCTTAAAAAAATCCCTTAAAACGATACTAAAC